ATGAAGTAAATGCACTTATTTCGAATGGTGACTAACTACATAGTATCTAACTAGATACCAGCCACTGCTGGAGTAGTAGTATCAAAGGAATAACAGTGGGAAGGTATTAGAAATAGTAATAAATAAATAATAATAATTCACTAAGAATTAAATAGATAGCTAGTCATTACTGTAATAAGTACTAGTATCTAATGAATAGTTAATAGTGAAATTGAAGATACTAATCAATACCTGTTCATTAAAGATTGTGCTAGTTAATTTTCAGAAGTAAATGTTCAAATCGCTTGCCATGCTCAAGGTCGTCAAAGTTGGTAAAACATTTACTTATGCATGTGGACATAGGTGGCTTAAATGGCCCAGCATTGCAGTACAAGGTGGTATGAATGGTACAATTAATACAGATTTGTATTTTTGAGCATGTTCTGACAGATACTGCTCATGGCCTCCACTATAACTTGTCTTGCATTACATTGCAAAAAATAAAATGAATAAATAAAATAGAGGAAGGATGAAGACTGGTAGGGCTGATATAATATTATGTGCTAAAATTACACACACCATGTCAATATGCAAACACCACAGCAATGACAAATTTTCTTTAGTAAATCATAAATACAATGGCATTTTATCATTTAAAACATGTTAATGAGTAACTCACTGTTGACCGTGATCATGTAACAGGCAGTGGATATTTGATATATCTAATGAAGCTGACTATTGGCCAGGTGTCTGTCCGGAAAAGCATGTACGCGCAAACACCAACACCGAACACCTGTCCTACTTTGTGTGCATGCTTGCTTGTTGTGTAGCTGCAGTAGCATATATTTGAGCCTTTACTTGCACTGGATTTGAGTGTGTGTGCATGTGGCATGCTGTGATAATTATGTACATAGATGCACTTTGTTTTATGGGCCTTTAGTTGCAACACCACCTTTGGCCTGAGCACACCTTGACCTTTGGATAGGCGGGGTCACCCTCTTGTTTTTGTTTTCGTGAGTGCATGAGGGGAGAGGGACTCTCCTATAATCACCCTGATATTTAGGACATGTCCAAAGGGACTGGACATTGTTTTTTTAGCACATTGTTAAAGGGATAGTTCACCCAAATATTAAAATGTGTTGTTATTTACTCAAACTCATGTCATTACAAACCTGCATGACTTCATTTCTTTTGCAGTGGTTTTGTTTTGTTTTGCACAAAAAACCTGTATGAATTTATTTCTTCTGCATGTTTCAGTGATTTTTTTCTGTTTTGCTTTGGACAAAAAAAATCAATTACAATATAATAGGAGTCCTGTGGTGAACCTCCAAGAGCTACTAACACAAACACACAAGTGCCAGTGACAGTATGTGTCTTAGGGAATGTGGAGGTGTTTTTTTTAGTTGCAGGGGGCCAATAAGGCAGTCAACTGGGGTAGTGCTGTAAAGAAAGAGAAACTGCAAGAGAGCGAAAGAAAGAAAGAAAGAAAGAAAGAAAGCCTTGGCAGACTTAATAGTTCACAAATGCTATAGCTTAAAGTACACAGGGCACCTCTAAGGTCATTTTACTGATAGTGTGTTCTGAAAGGCCTTGGTGTTTTTTTGGTGTTTTGAAAACTGCAGACTGGCAGAAATGTTGACAAAACTAAAAGGTGAGAATTGAGAACACTGCTGCTCGACCCTTCTCATTCACCTCTATTAGTCTACAGAAAGACATAAAGTCTAAGAAAACTCCCCTCTTGAGCATTTCTGAATGAAGACGTAAGCTGGATGCTCTAGTTGGAGCACTCATTAGTATTGCTGCATTATTGTCGATTCTCTCCCCGTTTTCCAGGCACAGTCTCTCTTTCTCCCCCACACTTGGGTTGTTCTCTGGCCCAGGCCTTATATTGGGGTTATATGAGAACACATTACAGTTTTAGTGTGTTCTAGCTCTGGTAGCTCTGGCAGCTCTGATATCTAACTGCTCGTTCTAAGGAAATCCCCAATACGAACTGCCCTGAAAAATACACATGCACAGGTTAACAAAATCAAGGTGCAATGTCTTGTTCTATGTTTAATTTTTTTAATCAAACATTTCTAGTTTTAAATCTTGTTCTCTGTGCATGCAACGATAATTCTAAGATATATATATATAATTGACCTCATATAACACTGAGGTTTATGATTGACAGCATTGTAGCCAATTCATTTTATCTTGCATAATAATTGGGGGTGGAGGTGCAAATGGATTTTTGTGTGGGTGGAACTTGGTGGTTACAATTTTTTTTTTTTTTAAATCTGTATATTCTTTTTTCCAGTAAAATTATCTAAATCTCCATATAAAATATACATATAAATTCTAAATTGGATAAAAATTTATTTGAGATGCAAATTTGCATAAGATTTTCTTATTTTTTAAATAAACCATAGATTATGCTTAAAAACAAGAAAAAACTATTATTTGCCAATAAGAAAAAAAATTACATACAAATGAAAAATATATTATATTATCTGAATACAACTCTTTACATAATATTCAAAAGTTTGGGGTAATGTTTAAATAAATTAAACATTTTATTCAGCAAATACATATTACACTGATCAAAAGTGACAGTAAAGTAATAACATTTCACAATATTACTGTTTTTTTTTATTAAATAAATGCAGCCTTGGAGAGTATAAGAGACTTCTTTCGAAAACATTAAATAAATCATAAAATTATCAAAACTTTTGTATCGTATAGATGTTCAAAAACTTGGAAAACAAGACAGTTCTGGCTAAGAAAGTGATCTTTTGCAGTCTATAATGTGTTTGAATTAGTCCCCATGAATCCATGGAGCCATCCCAGAATTCTGATGATTGCTGCAACCGTCAGATGCGGTTACAGACACAGTCACCGATGTGTATAGCCATACATCACACTGTGACACACACATGTACAGTCAAAAAGCAACAATCCTTCAGCCGAGTCCACTGTCACAGTTTGATAAATTGTCACCCCCTCCATAATTTGCTTCATGGTCAGAACTGCTCTACAATATCCTGTTTTTACCGCAGGATAGAGAGCGCAAAGCAGAGAAAATGAATGAAGGAAGGTGACCCTGGGAAAACTTTGCCTTTGGCCACAGAAACGCTCAACAGTAAGAGAAAATATTGAAAATAGGAAAATGAGATATCCATCTTAAAGAAAAATGGAAAGGAACAAAGAACAGAAACAAAGAACAAAAAAAAACTAGCTTGAAATTGCCTGAACCTCAAGCATTTTTGAAAAATCATGATGGTCGACCTTTGGAGATGTGAAATTATCATTAAATATAGACTACAGAAAAAGGCATGGAATCTCCTGATGATTATCAGAAATATTTGAAAATTGTATTTAATTGTACCAGTTACAAACACAATTGCTTGTCACTTGTTTTAAGTCAGTTCTTGGTCAGAAATGCACTTCAATGTTGTCCTGAGGGTCTTGTTGGCCTGGTTAGCGCTCATTGCCTATCACCTCAGATAAAGATTGTTTAAGGAGAAATGGATGAGTTTCAATGTTTCAAATCGATGCTCAGTATAAAGTATGCTTCCAAACTCACCACCAATCACTGCACTCAGTAGTGCCTCATTTCAGAAGTGATAATTATTCATATTAGTGAGTTGTGGGATGATGATCATGGAATGAGCACATAAAAACACCGAATGAAATATGCTTATGAAGCACTACTCCTGAGGTTAAGGTTATGAACCTGATGCAACAGTTTCTTGACCCTGCACATCATCACCTGGGCAACAAAACGTAAGACACCAAGAGATAACGCAAGCTAATTTAGCCAATAGCAATAAAGGTGGATGGCGGTGCCTCTCTGTCGCCATGGGGCTGTAAAGCGGGTGGGCTACATGCTGACGCGCCCGCCAAGAGCCAACATGTTCTAGCCCAACCCAAAATCTTAGCACCATAAAGCCAAGCTGGAACGCAACCTTTGATCGCCAACACTCTGCGGAGAGAGGTACGCTCAGACACCGAGAGTCATTAACGCAAACACTCAGCAACACCTATGAGGATACAGGTTACACAAAAGAACTATATAAAGTCATAAACATCAAAGCGTTTCATACAATTCATATATGGCCTGCGCCTTGGCATTATAAAGTCAGGACATTTTAAATATTAACATTTTTAACTACTACTTTTCAAAACAGAAAAAGTTAAATTGGTTGTTTGGTCTTTTTTTGGGGGGGAATGAAGCTTAAAAAATATTCAAATATTTTGAGGGATAATCAAGTAAAATAACGTGTCCTTATGAGAATATCTAAGCAATTGACAAGGTGGCAGTTTCATATGAATTCATACAATGTGATTTGTACAAAAACATACGATTTTTAGAATAGAGTAAGCAAGATCCACCCCCAAACCTAAACTGTCAGTGGGGCGTAAGCAAATACAAAAACATACAAAAATGTATGAATGAGATCGTATATATATTCATATGATTTAGCCAACAATTGGGCAAAATGTAAAATAGTTACAAATTGCCATTAGAGTGTGTTGGTATATCAGTTTAAAGTTCACAGAGCTGTTTTTGGACACTGAAAAAATGAATATAAATCCATGGAAATCACCCCACGGTCCCTCATTATAATAAAAACAGGATGATACTGATGTCAAAATATGCTATGATCTTATAAAATACACTTTTGCCTGTTGAACCGTCATCAACCTTCAAAGATAAGATTCTTCCAGAAAGATTTACATGTCTTTCTTTCATCTTGTTATGTTTACTACACAGTTTAGAATTTTTTTCAAATAACACAGTTTAGATTTTTTCTTTTCAAATAAATTACTGTTTATGACCCATAAACATTTTTTTGAACTGTATTTAAACAACATTTTCATAGTTTCATAGACAAAATTTAGGGAGAATTACAATATCTCTACAAACAAGTGCAGACACAAAGCAGATGTTCGGCAATTTTATATGCAATAAACCATTGCTATATTTCCAATATATATCAACAAAATACAGCAAATAAATTTAGGTTAACATATTCTGACAAAACAAAACACAAAATTTCTAACAATTAATATAAATGTGTCCCTTTTCAAAATTTGCTGAAAAGAGAGGGTCATTGCACTTCGGATCATCGGAGGAATACAATTTAGCATTAAAAGTGTCTGGAATCAGCAAAGACGACAAAGAAACTTTTAAAAGCCTCATCCAGGGAAAGTATGTGATCTAAAGTCACAGTGACCATAAAGACGCATTCCCTGAAGGATAAAGGGAATTATGGGAGAGACTTGTGTGCTTCCACTATTCTTATCTCAACATAAATAATGTATCTTAAAAGTTAATCATTAACATCTAAGTCATGAAACATGCTCAGAAGCCATAAAAAGCTTTTTTTTGTCCTCCTGATCATTGCTTAAGGAACTTGAGAACTGTTGCTGAGTCGCTGCTTGTCGCCCGCCGTATTTTGGCGGAATTGCGTGAATTGGCCGTGACGTCACCGACAGATATGCCACGTTAAAACAATGAGGCAAAGTAGCACAAATTACAGTCAGTCTCTTGCATTCCTAAGATCCGTCTGTCTACATTTGTGTAAAGGTTCTATTAGGTAGATCTTGTTAAAAGTCTTTTCTCCCAGAATGCACTGGAGAGGTTTAGAGAAGGTAGTAGGTCTCAGATCACGCTTGGGACAGCGCACACCAGGAATTCTGTGGGGCGATTGACGTCGGGGTGTACGTGTAGTCTTCATATTTGATGTCCACATGTGCTGAACTGGCACTGTCCAACTGTGTCGATGCCTTATAAAGAACAAAGAGAGACATTGTTAGCTGCCAAATCGAGCTTTGCCATAGAAGGGTTATTTTTAAAGGGATAGTTCACCCAAAAATGAAGGTGAGTAAATGATGACAGAATTTTCATGTTGAAGAATGAATTTAAAAGTCAATAATGTTGTTTTGGACTCAAGACAACAATGCCACAGAAGATTCATGTCAGTCTACAGTTCATGTAGTTCAGTAAAGTGAGAAGAACATTTTCATCATCTAAAGAATCTTTTGTCCAATGTAAAACTTCCATGTAAAGGTTCTTCATGGAACCATTGATGACAAAAAAAAGACACTTTAGACACTTTATTTTTTTTTAGAGTGAACTTGAACTTGAACCCATATTTAATCATTGCCTTTCATTGACGGTGACATATACAAAGAAAAAAAAATACAGTTCAATCAATCACATGAGTACCTGTGTGACTGAGACAACAGTTTGGCCTGCATATGGTGAAGCTGCGATACTGGGTTCCCTCTTTATTGTAGAGGCGTTCTCTGACACAGGCAATGAAGTGGGAGACATAGCGCCAGACACTGTTGACCCTGAAGACAAATAGAACAAGATGTGACTGACAGCCACAATAAAGGAACAGCAAACTGGATATACTGGTTATTGCAAATGACAATTAATGGCGTCAAACATCCGTTGGTGTTTATGCTGGTGCCGCACACGCACCACATGTCGATTGAATGCAGAGAAAAGTGCTGTTACTGCTCTCGCTCTCTCTCTCTCTCTCTCTTTCACTCCCTTTTCCCTCCCTTTACTCTCTCGCTCACCCCATATTTCTCTCCACACATTCTCTGACTCACTCACTCCCACACTTCCATCCAAATCACTCATGTCTGCTTTAGTCTAAAAATTAAACTTTCCAAAAACATCTCTTTTAAAATGCTTTTCTCAACTCTTACCTGAGGATGCTTTGCTTTTGGGCATCTTTGGTTTGCGTTTCCTCGTCTGAATGCTTTCTTTTTTCATTGCTAATGGCCTTGGTACCTAAAATAAGAGTAAAGTAAAAACAATGTATAATTTAATTCTGACTGATTATTCATTATGCAATCAAGAGTTAAAAATGAGTTGGTGGTTCAGTTATAATGGCGGTTGAACCGGGTGAGAATATGGGTCTTGTTGTTTAAAAAA